AAATAGCAAATATCAATGTTCCTAAAGAAAAGTATGCAAGAACACTTAGAAAACCAATGAAAACTAAAAGCTCTGAGGAATGACTAGTCCTACTGGATTTTAAAACTTCTATAATTACAGCAATTGGTGTTGATGCATGAATAGATAAGAGTGACCAAAGGAACTGAATACAAGTTCAAAACATAGAGCAAAATACATAAGAAAATTGAGTATATTAAATCACAGGAAAAAAACATCAAATTTTAAATAAATAGCAATGAGATTACTGGATAGATATTTAGAAAAAAAAATTAGATCCATATTTTACACCACACACAAAAGAATCCTTGCCAAAGGATCAGAGACCTAAATGTAAAAAATGAAATTTCCCTATTATAGGGAAATGTGAATTCCTAAATAACACCCTGAATGCAGAAAAGAACTTTTTCTATGTTTTACAAGCCAAAAGGAAAAAAAAAAAGTAAGTTTGACTGCATAAAACATCATCATTGTTAAAAGACAATGACATAGAGAAAATGTTTCTAACATATCATCACAGTTATATAAAGAAACACTTGAAATTTGGGGAGAAAGCGACTAATAACTCTGTAGAGAAAAGGACAAAAGATATGAGTAGACAATTCACACATACAAAAAGACACAGAAGTGGTCTTTAAGAGTCTTTTATGAAAGATGCTGAACCTCTTTCATAAGGGAAGTAAATTGAAGCTATTAGACATTGCCAAAATGTAAAAAAGAATGACAAAATACTTTGTTAGTGAAAAAAAAAATCGAAGAACAGTCACACACAGCTGATAGGAGTGGGAAATGGCACAACCCCTTCTGGTAGAGAATTTGATAATATTTAACAAAACCATGCAAGTATTTACTTTCTCACTTAGAAATCTGGCTTCTAAGGATTTACCCAGAAGATACATCTCCAACAATAACAAAATACCTATATACAAGGTTACTCATCCTAGTATTATTGCAGAATACTGGAAACAACATAATGTCAAAGGCAGCTATAAAAAAGAATAAGTGAGATCTCTATGAAATCATAGAGTGATTTTCAGAAGATATTTTAGTTGAAAACAAGTAAAAAGTAATCTGGAGTATGTAACCATTTGTATAACAAAAGGGGGGGGAATGAAAAACTTCATGCATACATGGGGTCACATAGAAAAGACAAGCCAGGAAATAATAAGATTGGTTATCCTAAGGGTAGAGGGAATGGAGCAAGAAGGATGGGGATGAAACTGGTATACCGGTTTGAATGGAATGACATGTCTCTAAGATATCCTTTTTGAATGGTTCTGACTTTGAAACCATGTTAATTTTTCATATACTTAGTAACTACAAACATACTTAAAATCAAGAAGAATGGCTGGAAAAACTAAAATGCAAATGAATGTAATTATTTAAAATGAATAGCTTAACTAACTGAAGAGAGGAACAACTAACCCAACCAACTTTTAAACATAGGTTAAAAATAAAGATTACATTGATCTCTAGTTAGCAGGTTTTACTTTTTGAAGTGATATTGATTAGCCATTTGGAAACTACTTTCTGTGTTTTCTAGGATTGAATAAATATATTGTTGATAATAAGAATCAAGTTTTTTAGTATTGAGGAAAAGAGTTATAAATATGGAGATGGGGAAGGCTACAACCTTGCTCATAGTAAGAGAAACAAATTAAAACTATCATTTCTCACCTATCAGTCCATAGTACTCAACTGTAATGGAAGGCTAGGAGGAAATTTTCAGTTTTTAAATTTTTTAAAAGAAGATTAGCAAGGATTTATTTTAGTAAATTATTACAACCACTATGGAAAACAGTATGGAAGCTCCTCAAAAATCTAAAAACAGAATGGTCATATGATCCAGCAATACTACTCCTAGGGATATACTTGAAGGAATGTAAGTCGGGTTACAATAAAGGCACCTGCACACCCATGTTTATTGCAGCACTATTCACAATAGCTAAGCTATGGAAACAGCCAAGATGCCCCATTACTGAGGAATGGATTAAGAAAATGTGATATTTACACACAATGGAATTTTATTCAGCCATAAAGAAGAATGAAATTTTGTCATTTTCAGATAAATGGATGGAACTGGAGAACATCATCTTAAGTGAAGTTATATATATACTTCTAATTGTTTACAAAAGGGCTTAGAAATAACAACACCTCAACAGCAACAAGCACACCTAGTGCCCAGATCTTGTTTTTGTTTTGTTTTGAGTGATGGTGGGGATTGAACCCAGGGTCTTACACATGCTCCTCTAGTAAGCTACATCCCCACCTTTCAGATCTTGGTTCTAAATACTAATCTTTGCTAAGAGAAATTAGGAGGGCTCCTAAAGAAGTAGTGAATTCTAAGGCTGTGGGTGAGAAATTTTAATATGAACTTGGAATATTTATTTATTATGTGCTAGAACATGGAGTTCTTCAAAGAATGATAGACTGCATCAAAAGGACAGAGATTCTAGATTGAAGGGGACCCCACTGGCCAAATCTGGGATAATTTGAACATCAGAATAAAGAGACATTAAAACTAAATATAACATGATTTTAGAATGAATCATGGACCAGGAAAACAATTTTAAAATTTAGTTATAAAGGAGATAATTATGATAATAATGGAAATTTGACTGAGATATGTGGATAATTTCTTGATCTTGATGGTTATGTAACAGAAGGCTTTTATTCTTAGAAAACATATACTTGAAGTGTTTAGAGGTAGAAGGGTATGTACAACTTAAAGAGTTTGAGACAGAGAGAGAGAGATTTGGAACGATAAAGCACAGCAAATATGACAAAAATATAAACACTGGGGAATGTAAATGAAGAATATCAAATAATCTTTTTATTATTTTTGTAGCTTTTCTATAAGACTGAAGTTATTTCAAAATAAAAAAATTTAAAAATAAAGTGGAAGAAAACAAATGATCCTTTCAGACAGTATAAATACTAGTTGGAATATGGTTGAGGTATTCTTTAAATAAGAATGAAAGTAGAATTTTTAAACCTGTTGAAACCACAATAAGAAAGTGACTAACGTAGAAAGAAGAAAAATAGAGATGAACGAATTAGGGCTATAATACATGGAAGTGCCATAAGGAAACTCCCTGTGCAGCTATCTTAAACAAGCAAAAATGTTATTGTTTCTTCTCTTTTCAAAATCAGAGAACAGGAGGGTGGAGTAGGTCTTGCCTGGGGAGGCTAGTACCAGAGGGAGTGGGGAGGAGGTGGAGAAAGGGGATGGGAGGGTAAATATAGTGCAAATACTGTGTCTACATATATGTAAATGCAAAAATGATACCTGCTGAAACTTCCAGGAATGAGGAAAGGGGGATAAAGGACAATGGTGGAGGGGGTAAATTCAAGTATGATATGTTTGATACATTGTAAGAACTCTTGTAAATGCCACAATGTATCTCTACTCAGCACAACAATGAAAAAAGTTAAAAAAAGAAAACAGGGTACTATTACAAAGAACACTTGGTGCAGGGGAGAGGGGATCTGCAGGTAAGTGCTTAAATTGGCAAAACAGAGAAATTAACATCCGAGTTAAGACCAAATAACAGGGAGAAGTCAAGCATATGAAGATCTAGGGGGCTCCGATTTCCAGGAAAGGACACTTCATTTGCTTTAAGGTGAAAGTGCAATTGGTGCCCTCAAGATACAGAAAGATAAGGACCATAAACATACAGAAAATTGTTCAGGCTAATGAAAAAAAAAAGAAGTGAGCTAGGACTAAGTGTGTAATTCAGAGGTACAGAGATAGCCGAGCATGTATGAAAAAGGTCAAGCCCCCTCAAAAGATTATTCCTTTATCTCCTATGAGATAGTAAAGATGATGGGAGACCAATAATCAGGGGGTGCCCTATCTATTTATCAGTATAAGATATTGTAAAACATTCACATCACTGTCTTTTAAAAGTTCATCTTAAAGAAATCACCAGAAAGGCAAATGTTTATATAAAAACATTCACTGTGACACTATGTATTATAGTATAACATTGAAAACAACATAAACTTCTATCACATGAATGATGGAGGAAAAAGCCAGGTAAAGAAACTATTATCTAAACAAACACTGGAGAAAGGAAATGCCAAATTCTCTGTCTTAAAATGGAGGGATTAGGATTGATTTTTTTTTTTTTTTACTCTGCTAAGTATATTGTTCTAAATCTTTTACAATGAGCCTATGTTTAGAAATATCCAAATATCAAAAACTTGGATATTAGAAACCTGTATCATATATTCTTAATTTAACCATAGCTATGATTTTTCTACCCATATTCACACCACCAATTAAATTTCATATATTGCAATTTCACAAGTTCTTTACCATCCAAGGAATTTAATGCTCATTCCAGTTTTCTAGACTAAGTTTATGAATGGAAATCTGAGCTGTTAGAATTTTTGGTAAATAAGAAATGCTTAGGTGAGAGGGTCTAGGCTATAATAGAGGAATTTCCTTCTAACCAGGAAAAAAAAAAAGTTTATTTCTGAGTCTTAGTCTTACAGAATTTATCAGGTTTTCTGAAAACCTCCCAGCCCTGTGACAGGTAGGCTGGTTTTGATAATAACTTCTGGATATTCAGTGAAAGAATGGGTAAGACTGTTATTGACAATTTCAGGATATAGCTGTAAAATTAACCTTGTATTCCATTAGGGCAAACTACTGCTATAAATTGTACATTAGTTCAGTATAAAAAATTTGCAGAGTTCCTAAATTGAATGAAATCTTTTGACAAATTGTCTTTAAATTCAGGGTACTTTTTATGGTAAAAGTATAAATTTCAAAAGGAACTTACTAACAACAATTTATAAATGGCCACCAGTAAGTTATAAGCTACTTAGATGAAGTTATCAAATAATTTTTGAAAAATCAAAGACTGTACTAGAAAAGAAAAACGTCTAAAACCTACAAAATGAAGTCTCAGAAAAAAAGCCAACACTATGTGAAAGAATGAAAAAAATGAATAAAATATTTTATTGTAGCTCACCTGCAGTTTCTGAGTGAGAGAGTCCCTCTGTTCTTGTAGTTCTCTGGCATTATCAATTTCTTGTTTTAATCTTTCTATTTCCTGAAAAAGAGAGAGTAATGTCTTTAATAACATTTAAGCTATATCAAGGAAAAGGAAAGCCTCATTTTTCCCTGAAATCATTGTTCCAGATCTTAGAAAGTAATAATTTTTTAAAAATTCCTTTACTGGATTTTATAGGGATGAGTTCATCCTTATAGGTGTGTTATCCAGAATAGAATGATCTTTTTTGCTTTGTTTTGTTTTTGAGATAATCTTGCCATGCAGTCCAGGCTGACCCTGAACTCAAGATCCTTCTGCCTCAGCCTCTTGAGTGCTGGGGTTACAGAAGTGCACCACCATGCCCAGCTCAGAATGATCCTAAACAACAAATCTAACTTGATGGCTTTGGTAATAGCACTGTTTAGAAATGACAATCTGACCTTTTATGATTGCTTCAAGTTTGAGATACAATTCTTTCCCAGGATAGTAAAGCTTTTGACTGGAAACTACAGAAAGCAAAAGACTGTAAAATTCATTTACTCTTTAATGATTTTCTGTTGATTGAATGAATGCAACCCTCATACATTAGGCAAAAAGCAGTCTTTCAGCATGACTGCCTCCCCGCAATTTAATGTATTTCACAGTAACAGAAACAAAACTGGAGAAAATAGGACCAAGCTTCATAATACTCAAGAAAAATTTCATCCCCCCCAAAAGTTAGTAATTTTATTTTATTCCATAAAATAACTTTAAATTTGACACAGACTCTAGTATTTTATATACATACATAAGAAGGATTACAGATGAATGAAAAGTGGCAAATACCTCTTCCTTTTCTTTCAATGTCTCTTCCAGTTCTTGTATTGTCTGATTTAATTCTGTCTTATGGGTATGCACTGCATTTGCTTGGCTACTAACACATTCAAGTTCAGTCACCTAAAATTAAATGAGAACACAGGTTAAATTAAATGGCAATTTCAAAGAGTTTCTTGCTGAAAACACAGTAAGTTCCTGATAAGTAAATAATGAATTTGGATCAATATATGGTAACTAATTTTGAGAACTATTAAAACACTCAGCACAAAATGAATAGATTTTTAAAAGATATATTTAAGATAAGGGAAAAAGAACAAAGGAAATAATTATTTCCATGCTTGATCATGGGACAGGTTAGGACAGCATAAGTAATTTATCACAGTAGAGAAGTCCTATAACGGAAGCTTTCTTTAAAAATTTGTTCTTAGGACTGGAGTGCAGCTCAGGTAGTGGGCTTGCCTAGCAAGCACAAGGCCCTGGATTTGATCCGTAGCACCACAAAAACAATAACAAATTAAAAACATTTTTTTTCTAACAATATACCTAAGATCAGTTGTAGTCATCTGCCTTCTCCATTTGTAGTCTTCAAATTAAATATTGGTTTTGAAAATTAGTCTTGCGGAAGTGAGAATTTTTTTCAAATACATTTACAAAATGTAAGAGAAGCTGAGAGAAAAGATATGCTTAAAATCCAACTTAACAGTTCTTTAGTCAGTAAGAATTTAATCAGAGCCCGAAAAACAATGTAATTCTTAGTAAGTACTTTCTAAGTCAACAGAAAAGGGCAGTGTCCTTAAAAGTCACACCATCTAAAACAGATCAATATAGACAGAAATCATGTAAACAAACACATACACACACGCAATCGCAGCTCTTTATACACATTAAGCTTTACATTCTGAATGTGTAGACTACAGTAAATTTCAGACCATTACGGAAGCAGAGTAAATAACCCGTCTCTTGAATTTTCTAAATAGCTAATTACTTTCTACATTCTGTTAATCTACTTCTCATAATGTTCTTCCTTTCTATTCATATCCTGATTTCACTGTACAGACCCTTGTCACTTAGGCCTGACCAAAAGCAATGGCTCCCCAGTGGACTTTAATAATTACCTTTGGTTATCTTTGCCTATTTTGCAACTGCTAACAGATTCATCTTTCATTGCGTGGCTCTCCTATTCAAAGTCTTTCAAGGGCTCATCTTTTTTACAATATCAAATCTAAACCTTCAGGCCCTCCATAAACTGGCCCCAACCTATTTAAGCATCTTCTCTGGTCAAGATATGTATGTCACTTAGGAGACACAGATCTCCTTTCTAAGAACAAACCATCCATGCCCATGTTATTGACTTAACTAGAATGTCCTTTCTCACCTCTGAAGACCATTCTGATCATACCAAAACATCACCTCCCAGCTCAGCATCCACTTACTTTCTCCAAAAAGCTATTCCTATTGCAAAGCTCCCCTGCCCTGAGGTTCATAAAATGAAGCATCTGATCAAAAACCTTGGGAATTATTTACTTATTGTTTAATATATATATAAGATTTCTCTGTCTGATTAAATAACAATCTGATAAGGATGAAGTGATTTTTATTAGAATAATCTTACCACAGATAACAACTTCAGACTGTGGGCAAAATATTTACAAAAGAAAAAGAAATTGACTGAAAGCCCTGAGAAGCCACCAAATTGGGCAAAAGACTGAAAGAAAATAGTCAATCGCCAGGTTGGATGTGTTGCTTGAAAGAACTCAAGCAGAAACCTCAGTATTATTCTCCTTCAAAGCCTCAGCATTTTGGGATTCCTTAGAGTAGCTGGAGTGGCTAGAAATTGAAGGATATGAGTGAAAGGAAGATCCCAAATAAACATACAGACGTCCCACAAATCTTTAACTAATGCCTCAATGAGTACACACAGGTGAGATTGGAGGAGTCCAGAGGAATGGAGAAAAAGCTGGAAGGCTGAAAGAACTAAGCTGTCACAAAGCTTGCCACAGCGAAGACAGCAGAAGTTTTACTCCTGCCAAATTAGAGGGCCTTGGTAAACAGTTCAAGCTTTCCAGTGAAACCTTAGAAGGTTATGACTTAAAGATACAGATCCTAGTACTAAGTGATTCAACACTCTTCACAGGAAGGTAATGGAATCTAGGGTCTCTACAATACCTCATTTACAATGTCCAATATGAATCAAAAATTGTTTTTAAAAAACTGGAAATTGAAACCTACAGCCAAGACAAAAATCTGAGATAATGGGGTTGGAGGTGTAGCTCAGTGACACAGCGCTTGCCTAGAATGCACAAGGTCCTGAGTTTGATTCCAAGTACTGCACAAAACCAAGCCAAAAAACCTGATAATTTGTTCCCAGAAAATCTTCCTCATAAAAAATGCTGAAGGAGTTATTTAAGCTATAGGGAAATGACATTTGATGGAAATTCAGACCTATAGAAAGAAAAGTATTGGAAAGTATAAATATGAGAATAAATAAAAAGACCCTCTCTCCCTCCTTCCTTCCTCTTTTTATTTTTTTTTCAAATTTTTTTCAGGCAAGATTGATACTCTTGTCTCAATCTCTGCAGTCCAGAATTACAAGTGACAACTACTACACTCAGCATTTCTTTATTTTTTAAAAATTAATTCTTTAATATTCAGTTGACTGGTGCAAAAATTCTTTATGGGAAGGAATTACACAATAAGGAGACAAGATAGCTCCTCAATAAATATTTATTGCTAATGATTTATTTGTCTTTAGTTAGTTTTGTATTGGGATAAAAAACAACAAAAATTTTCACCTTAATCATTTTTAAGTGCACAGTTCAGTAGTATTTTAAGTATATTCATATTATTGAGGAACTGATCTCAGAACTTTCTCATCTTACAAAACTTAAAGGTTATGCCCATTAAGCAACTCCTTTCCCTTTCCTCCCTCCAGAGCTAATGTTTACCTACAGTGTGGATGACATTTACTCAGGGCTCTAATTCTCTTTCCTTGTCTCTACTCCATTTCTATTTACATCTGTCATCCTACTACACTCCTAATGTTGTATTGTTGCTAAGCCATTCCCTGTTATCTATGGAGTTCACTTATTTGGCATCCTTTTTGAAAAAGGTAAATTCAGGCAAGGGGTGTGGTTCAAATGGTAGACAGTCTGCCTCCCAAACACAAGGCTCTGAGTTCAAACCCCAGTACCAGAGGAAAAAAAGAGAAAAACTAGTGGCATTTGCCTCCTACTGGATGAATATATATATAATTAATAGAATTAGGATTCTGACTTTTTGTCTCAGATCTCTATCATTAACAATTTTTATAAAGAATTTTCTACCTGTATTTTTCAAATTTTCCTTCTTTAAAAAGCAAAAAATAAAATAATAAAAGCCTTTCATTGATTCATTGTAACCTACAGAGTCAGTACAACTACATACCACTTAAGTGTCTCTTTTAATTATGTTCACAGGAATTTTACAGAATATGTTTGGGTATTTTTGAGACAGTGTCTTGCTACATTGGCCAGGCACACACTGAATTCCTGGGCTCAAGCAATCCTCCTGCCTTAGCCTCTGGAGTATCTGGGACTATACATATGCACCAATGTACCCAGACAGTATACCTATTATCTTTGGCAGTACTGGGGTTTTAACTGAGCACCTTGCACTTGGTAGGCCAGTACTGCACCACTGGAGACACATCCCCAGCCCTTTTTGCTTTAATTATTTTTCATATAGGGTCTTGAGTTTATGCCCCAGCTGGTCCGGATCTTATCTTCCTATTCCATTCAGTTGGGATGACAGGGACATGCCTCTATGTCCATCTTTTACTGGTTGAAATGAGTTCTCCTGAATTTTTTGTCCGGGCTGGTCTTGAATAGCAATTGTCCTGATCTCCACCTCTCCAGTAGAGGATGTCAGCCTTGAGTCACCATGCCCAAAAGAATATTCATTTTTGACTTATAGTAATTAAATGCCAATTTGGGTTTTAATTAATTTTCTCAGAAATTATACAGAGTTCCTATTATTCCCATGTTACAGATGAAAATACTGAGCTGAAACAAAGAAGTAACTTACCAAAGGTCATACAGCAAAAGGTGGCAAAACTGGAATCTTCAGTAAGTTCATTTGATTTCAAAAGCTGTATAGTCTTCATTCTCATTAAACTACCAGAACTTTTGTTTATTTGCTTTTAGTGGTATGGGAGTTTGAACTCAGGGCCTCCAAGGGTTCTACCACTTGAGTCCCACCCCCAGCCCATTGTGCTTTAGTTTTGGGGGGTAGTGTTTTGAACTTATGCCCAGCGCTGACCTCAGACCACAATCCTCCTACTTCCACCTCAGAAATGCATTACTATACCCGGCTTATTATTTGAGATAGGGTCTCTAACTTTTTGCCTGGACTGGCCTCAAATCTTGATCCTCCTAATTCCTCCTCTCAAGTAGCTGAAATTACAGGTGTGAGCCAGTGTGGCTAACCCTGGAAATATTTTCCTTAACCAAACAAACTCACTGAATACAACCCATATGTATGTCCTGACAAGCAATGACCAGATGTCTATGTGCTGAATCTACATGTAGATTTGTTTGGATCAAGGAAACCTGTTATCTCTGAGTCCCTGACAGCAGCCCCTGAACTTACCCGCTTGTGCAGACGTTCTGCTTCCTCTTGATAGGCAGCAAGTTGCTGTTTCCATTGTTTCACATTGGCAGTGGACTCCAGCAGGGCTGCAGTGAGTTTGGCATTATTTCCTTTGAGAGTAGCCAACTCAGCTTCCCAGTGTTTGCTGATGGCTGAACTAAAATAAAGAGAAAATTCTATCTATTACACTGAATACTGTTTCTACAGGCACAGCAGTGCTCACTTGCATTGTCGGGTTTATAGTCTTCAGAATGTTTCCAAAGAGAACCCCAAACAGTAAAAACCCAAATACTTTACTAGGAACCTGTCAGTTCCTAGTGAAGAAAATGTGGCAAGTGAAGAAATACAAAAAGTATCAGAGTACTAGAACATGGAATAGTTCCCACCTTTATTATAACAGATACAGGTATCTACCCACTTTCTTTGTAAAAATGAACATTATCACCCTATCCCCCTAAATCTAAAACAACATCCAACAATGTACTGTATGTTTAAAGGTATCAAAAGTCTCCAGTACAAACCCATTCCTTAATGAAATCCATTCCTTAATGACAATATGTTTAAGTGACAATAAGATTTGGGGTATGTAATGTGATATTTCTTTAGAAATTATTGATTTATATCATCTTATTTGGAATTCTAAAATGTCAAAAAAACCCAAAATTTATTGCAATAAACTAATTTTATAAGGTATGCCCACACTAGAGATTGATTCTAATGACTTAGCTTCTGATATAATTCAGACGAAGCAATTCCCCTTTCTTCATTTAGAACTACACTTGATAAGTTACCTAGAGTTAAATATCAAAACCGAGACTATTTGCTATTATAAAACCAATTCTATTAGTTGTGAAGACCTCTCTCTTAACTTCCCAATGAAGAAAGAATTGCCTCTTTTGAAAGAAAAAGGTTGTTGGTGAAATTCTACTGATCTCATCCTATTAACCAACTAGTGATGCTTACAGCTTTCTTTCACACTGTCTTTGTGTTTGCAAGTCATTCATATCACAGGGCGTGTTTGGAGGAACTGATATTTTGTAGTAATATTAATCTATCTTTAAAGAAAGTGGTTTCCATCATCAAAGTTACCAAAGCCCATCAAGAGTTTGAAAACACATCTGCATGAGCCCCAACGCACAATGCACAGAGAAGAACAGATGATCATTTCCTATATTCTTGGGAGGAAAACCTACAAACATATTTAATATTAATCAAATAGGAAGAAAACATCATACAAACCCAAACTTAAGGACACAAAGCAAAGTGATGAAAACTCATCAAAAATGTAAAGAAAAGACAATACTAAGGAATGGAATGGAGGAAACTAGGAAGAAATAACAATGAAATGCAAATTCAATGTAGGATGCTAGATAGATTCCTGGAACAGAAATGAGACATTGGGGCTAGGGATATACAGTTCAGTGGTAGGGTCTTGCCTAGCATGGGAGACCCCAGCACTGAACAAAAAAAAAAAAAAAACAAAAAAAAAAGGAAAGAGAGATTGATTTAATTGGAAAGATCACTGGTGAAAACTGAGATTTAGTTAGTAGTACTGGATCAATGCTAACTTCCTGAGTTTGATAACTACATTATGGTCATTATGATCATATAAAAGGTTAACATTATGGAACGTTGGGTGTAGGGTTTATGGGGACTCTCACAGGTTTTGCAGCTTTCCCTTAGGTCTAAAATTAGTTTTGAATGAAAAGTTAAAAATGTTCCTAAGGTTTACTAACTGAGAAAATCTCATCAAAACATGAAAGGACAGCAAAACAAGAAGATAAACTAATAATTTAACAACTCATTTCTATCCCTAAAATGGAAATTCTTTTCTAATTCTTTCTCTGTGGAATGAATTTTTTCATTTGTACAGTTTTTGAACAAAGCATGTATCTATTCACCTGCTCTAATTAGAGGTAAGCTTTGTTTAAATGGACTCTTCAATCTGACAACTGAAATCTTGTTAAACTAATATAATTTGCTCTATAAAACATCAAAACTTTTTAAAAAATTAAGAGGAATAAAAATGATTTTGAGAACTTGTTTCTAAAATCCATTCATCAAAACTGCACAATTATAAAGTAAGATGGATCACCACATGTCTTTATAACGGAGAAAGAACAAAAATGAGGGTGTTACTTTTCTAGGTTTTTATAGTCTATAGGCACAAAAATGCATTAAGAATTTAGTAATTCAGTCTATACATCAGTTAATTCAATAATTATTTGTGTGATCTCAGACTAATGTCTCAACCACTTTTTCCCCCCTTTTGGCAGTACTAGAATTTGAACTCAGGGCCTCATTCTTTCTGGGCAAGTATTCTACCACTTGAGCCACTTGCTTTATTCTTTGGACAGGATCTTTTGTTTTTGCCTGGGCTGGCCTAGACCCCACTCTCCTACCTATGCCTCTGTGTAACTGGGATTACAAGCAAATATCACCGAGCTTGTTTGCTGAAATGGGATCTTTCACTAACTTTTTGTTAAGATGGGGCCTGTGCCAATACCTGTGATCTCCTCTCAAACACCTTGAATTTTGAGCTTAGTTCTTTCTATGTTAAATAGAGATTAATCAAGTTTTCATTGTCCGAATGTTAGCCATGAGCTGCATTATGGCCAGGGAAACTGAAATTGCTCAAAATTAAATAAAGTTAAAAATTCAGTTTCTCAGCCTCATTAGGCACATTTCATGCACTGAACAGACAAATATAACTAGTGGCTACCATACTGGCCAGCAAAGATACAGAACACCTAATCATGACAGAGTTCTACTGGACAAAGTTCTCCTACAAGTTTTCTACCTTTCTGGCCAGTTTTTCAAGTCTTTATTTATGGGATAACTTGTGTCCCCAGTCTCTAAATTCATAAATCAAAATTCTAATCCTCAGACTTCACCGTATAACTGTATTTGGAGAAAGGATTTTCAAGAGCCAAGTAGAGTTAAATGAGGTCACTAGGGTGGGCCCAATTCATTCATCAACTCTAATTCATTACAGGACATTCTTACAAGAGAAGATTAGGAGACATGTATAAGGAAAGACCAGCCTTCTGCAATAATCCTGTTGACCCCTTGTATCTCAGAAATTATGGCCTCTTCAACAGGGAGAAAAATAAATTTCTGTTGTTTAAGCCACATTGTGGTATTTGTTAGGTCAATCTAACAAATCTAATATACATAATGTCTTTATTTATTTACTTATTTTTAAATTAATGAATTTTTTGGTAGGACTGGTATTTAAACTCAGGGCTTTGCACTTGCAAAGCAGGCACTCTGCTGCTTGAGCCATACTTACAGTCCTACATTTTGCTCTGGATATTTTGGAGATGGGGGTTTCATGAACTATTTGCCTGGGATGGCCTCAAACTGTGATCCTCCTGACCTCAGTCTCCCAAGTAGCTAGAATTACAGTCATGAGGTACCACTGCTTGGCTACTACATATAATGTTTTTAAATCCACACTGTATCTGCTGCCTGTCAATTTGCCCCATCTTCCTAGACTGAAGTATGTGCCTTCTATTTCCTGTTCTAGGCAGCTGGCTTTTCTGGAAGTCTCTTCTTTCCAATCAGATTCTTATTCTACTTTTCCATGACTTTTTGCTTATATTTTCCTACATTCAGAATCTGTCTATAAGACTGCATTTTTCTCTTCTGTTGATCTGGGTCTTCAACAAGTGCTTTTCAGTTCTACTACCTACCTTCCACTTTCTAGCAGTCTGGGCTTGTCAATCTGTATAGGCTTAGTCAATGCACTAACTACACAAAAAAGTAAAGGCAATCATTATACAATAAGTATGAAACCAAACTAAGATTAAATTAATAATAAAAAGTAGTAAATTTTGTAACACTTCAATCTTTAACACTAATAAAAATCTTACATGTAAGGCCAGGCATGGTGGTACATGTCTGTAATCCCAGTTTATTCAGGAGGTAGAAATAGGAGAATTGTGGTTCAAGGCCAGACGGGGCTAAAAGCTAACAAAACCCTGTCTCAAAAACAAGGAGGAGTGGTTGTGCGTGCCTGTGGTCCCAGCTACTACTGAGGTAGAAGTAGAAAGATTGAGGTCTGAGGGCAGCCCATGTAAAAAGCCTAACATCCTATTTGAAAAAAACTGAAGACAAAAGGAGTGGGTTTGTGATTCAAGAGGCCCTGAATTCAAATCCAAGTACTTACCCCTCCAAAAAAAAATTTACAAAAAAAAATCTTGGCCTTCACATTAGGCATGGCATTTCACATTTGGCTTGAGTAGCATAATCATATGTAGTTTCTTGGCTTCCTTTTTTTTTTTTTGTGGCACCGGGGCTTGAACTCAGGGCCTTCACCTTGAGCCACTCTGCCAGCCCTATTTTATGAAGGGTTTTTCAAGATAGGGTCTCGTGAACTATTTGCCTGGGCCAGCTTCGAACAGCAATTATAGGTGTGAGTACCCAGCTTGGTTTCCATTTTTAAACTAACCATACGTGCATGCAAGGTAACGTGAATTTCCTATATAAAACATGAATATATGGGACCTGGAGAATCTAAAGAGAACCTGGTCAAGAAATGGTTAGTATTCCTGAACAAGATTCCTTTCTTGGTGTAATTTTCAAATTAATACTGACAGGAATACTTTTTTTAATGGTGCTGGGGTATGAACCCAGGCGTCTCACAGATGCTGGAAAAGTGCTCTATGACTGAGCTATACCTCCAGCCGAGGAATACTTTTTAGTTTTACTTAGTACTGGGGTTTGAACTCAGGGCCTCACACTTGTTAGGCTCTACCACTGCCAACCCTTTTTTTTTGTGTGTGTGATGGGTATTTTTGAGGTAGGGTCTCAATTTTTGCCCAGGCTGACCCTGAACCTCAGTCCTCCTGATCTCTGCCTCCAAGTAGCTACGACTACAGGTATGAACCATCAGTGCCTGGCTCCAGTAATACATTTTTATGTGAACAATAAAAAGCATTCTCTATGAGCAACTAGGTAGCTGTAACATTACATAAATTACTTTGAAGGATCTGACCACTGAAATTGTGTTTAAAGTAGATTACCACATTCTTCAAATTCATTCTAGAATTTTCATATGGTTGTTATTTAGATCCAGGAGCCTCAAGTTTAAGACGTAAATCTGGTAAAATCTGAAACAAAACACTAATGATATAATCTAGGGCAGTGTAAAGG